GATCTATCTTCCGCTCCCCACTCCACTTTTGTGGGGAGAGGGTCCCGAAGCCTTGGCTTCATCTTGGAGCTCCGTTGCGGGGGAAGGAAGGAGAGGGAGGGGCTGCTGCTCGTTTTGCCTCCGATGCTTGGGTCGGTGGGTGGGTGGGGGTACCGCGAAGGACCCCGTACCCAGAGGATCCCCTCTCGGTTTTTTTTTGGGGGGGGCTGCCTTCCCTGGAGGATTCGAGCGGCAAAGCGGTGGCTGCGACACGAGACGCTTGAAACCCATTGTATCCTGAGCCGCTGTGGGACGACCTTGATTTAACAGAAAGTTCACTCGCCTCCTGACAAGTCCCCCCCCCCACATACACACAAAACACACACACACACACACAACCGGGCGTCGCCGCCGTTCTGTTTTGAGCTGCAAGCCTTTGCAACGTTTGCTCCGGAGGAAGCCTCCTTGAGCTTGGTCGAGTTTTCCTTCTGAGGCCGCCTGCTCGCGATTGGCGGGGCAAGTGTGAAAACGTGGGCGCGCCCAAGCTTTTCGTGCCTTCGGGGCGAGAAGTATTAGCTGGGATGAAATCTTAGGTTTTCTAGGAATCTTGGTTGCAACAGGTCGGCCCTTTTAGCTGATGTCTGAAAGCAGCGTATGCAGCTATATGTGTATACCTTCTGTATATCAGATATGCTGCAGGTATCTGTTGGGAGGCGTTTGATTTTTAAAAATAACACCAACATAAAATATGAAAATATTAGTTTATTTTTAATTTTTTTTTACTTGCACTCTATTTGAAGAAACAGAATTCTTCCAGGCAGATTCAATCGGTTAAAAATTCTACTCCCTCTTACATTCTGCTCCTGACACTGAGAGTGGGCAGAAGGCTTGTGTTGTAATTCTTTCCCTGGTTAACCTCTGTTATAGGGAGTCTTCGCTGTGTACGCTTTTGAGCTCTTGATAACTATCTCTTGTGTATAAGAGTGTTGGCATTTAGTGGAGAAAACATACAGTCAAAAGCCTCCTTTGTTTTTCTGTATCTGCTTGATTGTGCTCTGTGTGTGTGTTGAGAAAGCTTTCTGTGAAAATCAACCACAGTTCTTCAAAGGTATTTATTGGGTGAAGGCTGAGAGCGGTACATGGTCTGAACAGGGAAAAAAAAACCCACGAATCTGGATGCGACCTTTATAGAAAAATGGAGTGCCAGTTTGTTACAACTGTTAACATTTCAGTGACAATATGTACATATGCTTGATTGTCATGTGAAAGAACAATTCCAGAACCCTGTTAAAAAGATAAGTTGAAATTGAGTAGGTGGCATTGCCTTATTCTGCTGTAGGATATAACATTCAATTGTTGGTCATTTTGCAGATCTTGTCTAAGATATCCCCAAATTCATTTGTAGCTGTTTATTCCAGATTCTGTAGACTGCTGCTTCCTTATGAAATTACAAGCTTGTTCAAACTGTTTTGAGAGGCAATTACAACTGAACCCAGTGGTACTTGCTTCTGAGTAAGGTATAGAATGATACCAGCTTTAAATGCATCTGACCATTCTTGTATTCTTGCTCACTTCTTGCGCTCTCTTTCTCTCTCCCCCCTCTCCCTCTGTCTCCTTCTCCTACCTCCCCCCCTTTTGGATGCCACACTAATAAAACTGAAAATGAAAGCCAAAGTGGAGTCATAAAAGTATCTATTTACATCTGAGTCTTCCTTTGAGTTAAAGGACTGTTTAAGGCTATGAACACATAATGTTGGATTTGTTTATCAGTGTGAATGTCTGCTGTCTTCTGCTGTTTATTACATAGTGGCAAGGATCTTGAATAGCTTGCCTTCTCTGAAAGGCTGGAGTTAGCATAATTGTAATCCTATTTTGTTAGGCCTATTGGTGGATCGTTGCCAGTGGATGAAGATAATTAGTTCATCCCTGCACGACTGAACCACCATTGAGACTTTGTATGTTTTCTATAGATGGTGGTGTCTGGATGCTGCTGACAATGGCTGTATGTGCTCTGTAGTGTCAAAACCCAGTGGGGTGACTGTGAGCGATGTTGCAAAAACAGAGTTCGGTGGCACTGTTGAGTAATGATCTAAAATGATTGAAGCTTTTGTGAGCTAGAGGCCTTGTAGGTTTATGGCATGGTCTTCCTACCCCAGTGAGGCAAGAATGCAGAGGGATGTGTGTGTGTGTGTCATTTTACTCTGATCTTTACACACACTAGGCATCTTTAGGTGGAGGTGAGTGGAGAGCAAGGGATTAGCAGTGGCAGCCCCCAAAAAACTGAATTTCCATGGCCAAGTGGCGATTTGAACTCAGGGTTATTGAGTCTTAGTTTGTTACTCTATCCACTACACCACCCTGGCTTGGCTTCCTTCAGTAGTAGTGGCATAAAGCCAACAGAAGAGTCACAGAACTGTTAATCAGTTTGTTTAAAGTTCATTTCCTGTCAGGAAAGAGAAGGACTTGGGTGTGCATAAATATATAAAAAAGAAAGTTCTCCTTCCCATTTTCGATGAGCAATGAATGCTCATATTTGTTTAACTGATTTGGCTTGGAGTGATCAGCAGCAACGCAGAAACATTAATGTCTAAAATGTATATCTATCCTTACAAAATATAAGGTTGTTCTCAGTTTGGATATTTCACTTCCTATATATAAGAAAATGGATTCTGAGAAATGGTGAAGATTTGTGAGGGCACTGAACTAAAGCACACTAATACAATCTGTGAAATGCTGAGGACACTCACTTTTGTTAGAAGATCTGTGATGCAGCATTTTATTCCAAAAAAGGGGGTTACATCAAGAAATACATTGTGCCCAGGTGAACAGTGCAGAAGAATATGTACAGTGGTGCCTCACTAGACAGTTGCCCCACATGACAGTTTTTTTGCGAGACATTGGCTTTTTGCGATCGCAGTAGCAATTCGCAAAACAGTGATTCCTATGGGGGAACCTCGCTGGACAATGTTTGGTCCCTGCTTCGATTTTGACAGCTTCCTCCATGCTCGCAAACAGGTGTTTTCTTGACCTAAGCTTCGCAAGACAGCGATTTAAACAGCTGATTTGCAGTTCACAAAGTAGCTTTTCTATGGTTGATCTTCGCTAGACAACAACGATTCTTCCCCATTGAAATGCATTAAACAGGTTTCAATGAATTCCAATAGGGAAATGCTTTTCACTAGACAATGATTTCGCTAAACAGTGATTTCAGTGGAATGGATTATCATCGTCTAGCGAGGCACCACTTATAGAACAATACAAAATACTGTATGTACAAACAGAAGCAAACACTCTCAGTGCTACATCCTATTTATTCAGTGACTCTTAGATATTGTTGAACTAAAGCTCCTTGAAGCCTTCACCACTAGCTGTGCTGGCCAGGATTTTTAGGAGTGGTGGTCCAAGAAGATCTGGAAACCCAAGGTTGGGAAACATTACTGTAGGTACTTCAAGAGACAAATTTAGGTCTGGATCTTCCTGTAACATGTGAGGAAGGGTGAAAATAAATGTTACCTGTGCAGCTCCTTGCTCTTTTTCACTTGTGATTAGGGGGAGCTTCTAAAGCAGAAATCCTCTTTTACCCATTTAGGGGGGTCTGCACAAGGTCAGCTCCTGATGCGTCCTGTCTGGGAGGAAGCACCTACATTACCTTGTGTAATTCTTCTTTGCAGTAGCAGTCGTTTCCTACCTTGCTTTATAGAACCTGAGGTAACGTGTGTTTAAATAGCCTCAGTTATTGTTTCCACGTCAAGTGGCAATGCTGATCTCCCATTTTAAGTAGTCCCATAATGCTGGAGACAGCAGCCAGTTTTTGCTCATAAGAGAAAGCAAGTGAAACAGTATCTGTGGCATGGTTACACAAGAGCCCAATTTGTCTAGCAACTTTTTACTTGCTGTATTCAAGAGTGGCAAATGTAGTTTGGTTTCCTGTGCCTGGAAACTAAAAAATGAAGCTGTGAACTGTAGTATAAGGGAATAAGCTAAGAATTTTGGGCGTGTTTTGGCTTCAGGTAATAAAAGAGGGAGAAGCTAACTCTTGCCACCACTTGTGTTGTTGGTAAACCTGCCTGCACCATTTCATGCAGCAAATGTGATTATATGATGGATTACTCATTGACAGAGAACACTGGCAGGTTCTGTGGAGAGAAGAGGTTAGGTTAGAATCACCAGCCTCTGCCACAGATGTAGCTTTCCTTGTGAAGGGATATTTTTTTAATGTGTTGAAACATTCACTCCTGCAAACCCTGGCTGCATCTGAGGTGGCACGTTTCAGAAACAGGTTGACTGCTACCCCATGTGCTGTCTGTGAGAAGTAGGTCATAGCAGCCTACCTGCCTTCCTTCACTAGTTTTTTTTTGCTCAGTTTTGCAATGTTTTGAAAGCATATGCTTTCAGTAGTCCAAGGAAAATGTCCAGTACCATCTGCTTGCTTTTTCTGTGTTATATGTATAGATGTGTGAATTTTGGGATGGTATGCTTGAGCTGTTGCTGTTCCATTCACATTTCTAATCTGCCTGCCTGCAGATATCAAGATATATTTGATTTCAGAGGATCAGAGCTGGACCTAGTTGCTGGATGAGTTCCTCATGCTGGTTTCGATTGACTTTAAATTCCTTAAGTGGGTGATCTGATGCTACTTATTATACTAATTTCACATGGACAGATTGTCTCAAGGGCACTCGGATTTGCTTTCCGGGTAGAAATAAGGAAGATATTAAGTATTCCTGTATTCTGTCTTTGAATGAGAGCTAAAATGCATATGTTAGAATCTTAGAACTGCAGAGCTGGAAGGAACTCTGGATCATCAAATCCACTCCCTGTCAAGGAGGCCTAGGGTTAAATTTCCCATCTCTGGCTCTGCCAGCCTGCAGGTTTACTACACTTACTTATTTGCTTTAGCCAGTTAGATAGCAATAAACAGAATAAGTTTCCTCTAGATCTAAGCCCATAGGAAAAAACAAAGTAGCACTGTACTCCAGGAGGGGGAAAAAAGGCAAAATATAGAGTTGGATAAGACCTTTTGCTGGGATAACTGAAGTGTTAATGCATAAAGGTGCTTTGGAGTTCTGCACAATTCATAATCAGATATAATGGTACAAAGATCAGAGGATGGAGGAAACCCAAAAAGTTCAACTACTTGGATTGTTGGGCTTTCTGTGTCTTCCCAATCCCCTAAAATTTGTGCTGGTGTAGAGATAAATGTATGCTACGTCTGTGACATTTCAGTTCAGTAGCACAAGGTACATATGAAAGTTGTGTGTGTTCCTGTTGCTGTGATACAAGATGAACAAATGCAGTGGTGCTGTGCCCTTTTCTATGGTTTATAAGCCAGAGAGAGTTTGCTCTTCTTTTGCAGTTAGTGATGGCAGAGCAAGCCAGATCATAATGTGTGTGTGTTAGTAGCATCCTTAATTGTGCCAAATACTTCCACAATCCACTCATTGTCAAAGTAAAAAGACCTTTCAGCATTGATGTTCCAACTCTGTAAACATTCACTTAGTTATAGCAGTAAGCCAGGGTCTCTGGAGGGCTAGGTTAAGTTATTACAACTATACAAACAGATCCAAGTTCCTCTCTAGAACAAGAATAACTGGGAGGGGAGGGAGGGGAGAGCCACTGTCATCTTTCTGGAGGGAAGACAAGAATGAATTAATTGTGTGAAATTCCCCAGTAGGCCATAAAGCCTGGCATTTATGAAG